ACTCCGGCAGCAGCATACCCCAACAGTCGATGATCGAATCCCAAATCAGACCCATTAAAAATATATGTGAAAGCTCTGGCCTCTGGCAGTTTTGTTTTATATATTTGTCGATTCATTTTTAGAGTCGGTAAAGTAGAATTCGATAAAGTAGAATATTGTAGAATATTGAACTATGGTGTGCAAAGCTATTGATATCACCATATGAGGCACATAGAATCCAAGTGTGTCACAATTCAAATCCAGTGTTCAGGCATGGTTCATAGCATAAGATTCACACATGAAATGGATGTGTTTCACAATATGCGCAAAATTAAGTGTGAGACACATGATGATGACGTGTGGAATTTTTTGAGTGTAATGGGAATGTTCGTTTGGCTCAGATTTTGACAGTTCATTTAGCTCAAAACATTCTCTCCGTTCATTTATCTCCTTCTTGTATTTCTACACGGTAAGAAAAAATACTCAAAATTAAGTTTAAAAAAAACTCAACGTTGGGTTCTATCATTTGAGGTCCGCCGTTGAGTGAATCAGAAAAGCGGCGTTGGTTAAAATTTACTCAACTATTGAGTAATAATAAATGAACTCAAATATAAGTTTATTTTCATTGAGGTTGCTTTTATGAGCCTTTAACCAATTCATTTTCACAAGCGTTGATAGACGAGTGGTCAACACACGGGCCTCGTAATCTCAACGTCCATGGTTCGGTTCCAGTCTGCTCCCCCATGAAGAAACGACTTCTTGACGATTTTATTCCACTTCATGCTTAATAATACTTGTACTATTTTTAATAATAACTTCTGTTCAGGCTTTGTTCACACAAATCTGGAGAATTTATTCAACCACAACATCGAAATATTTGGTGTTGAATAAGGTATGTCGAGAAGCTTTTATTCGACTTACAAAAGTTGTAACAGAGCTTATTCGATCAAATTTTTGATTATTCAGCGTTTATTAGACCATCTGTACTTCCTTAAACAGCGATGGTATAAAGGTGTAAATAGACGCTTGATTCTTATGTGAAATAATGTTTAATTATTACATCATTATACATTTATTAAACGATTATTCAACTACGGGATAATTAATCCGAAAATAAGAACGGCACGAGCAGGGTTGTTTTCGTTAGTGATTGTTGTGTCATTATTTCTGTCGAATTTATTACATACATACATACACACACATGTCGTTAAATGGGATTCGAACCATGACCTTCCGATCACCAGCCGCTTGCCTTGCCATCTGAGCTATCCTAAAATACATCATATGAGCAGCTAAATAAGCAATAAAAGCTTGAATCTGAAAACCTATCAGCACTTCCAGCCGTAACTCTAGCTAATTCAAGGAGATGTGAGAATGATTAATTCATTCATAGTTGTTTAACATGAGACCAACCAACGTTACCTCTCCATCTTTCTAATTTCGATGGAAGGGATGCTATTCTTTTCAATAGATCTATGAATTGGTTGTCGTGAGTGATACGATTTAAATTAATTAGGAGTAGAACATAAATAAAAAAAAAGGGTTGAGGCTGGGATTGAACTCGCGACCTTCTACTTGGAAAGCGGAAACGGTAACCACTATGCTACCAATTTTGTTTTGTTGTTAGCCTGAATCACTGTTGTGGAATAATGAATAAATACGCCGTTTGTAAAGCATTTATTAAGCATGCAATTAAAACATGGACGCATAGTAGAATAAGAGCTATTTTGCTGACTGTATTCACCTTTATACAGCAATATTGTAAAGCAATGCAATGAAATCTAATAATGGAGCTAGAAAACATTTATAAGACGTCTAATAAAGCATTTTATTAAGGCAATTGAAAACAGTCGAATTAAAGCGACAATGTATGTGAAAATTACTCTTATTCAGTTTGTTATTAGATCAAACTTCTGGTTCTGAATTAGGAAGACAGTCAACGTTTATAAAGCTTTTAATAAGTAAATTAATCATATCAGAGCAAACGGCGGAATAAAGGCGCATCTATCGATCTCAATGAGCTTTTTTCAGCACATAATTCGACATCTTGTTTTATTCAGCATTGTACACTGTTAAACAGCATTTATTCAATGTGTATGCTTATTTGTGACTGTGAATTGTTTGTTGGGCCGTTTAATTATTTTTTTTGTCAACTTGGTCAACGCCAGGATTATTATTATTATTTATTATTTAGCTTTATTAAGGAGGCTTTCAGCCTTGGGCTGGTTCGCCTCCAACGCCAGGATTACTCAAAATTGAGTTTTCTTCTTTAACTTAATTTTACCTAGCCCCACGGAAGCCACGTGATGAGTGAAAGGAACTCAATTTTGGGTACTTTTTTCTTACCGTGTAGTCATCAACGTATATATGTTCTTGTCAATGACAGTATTGAAAGTATCCGTGGAAGTATTTTTCACTGTGTGTGTTTTCACCAAATGATTATATTTCTTCCTCATCTCCTAGTTTAAACTGTGTTCAAGAATAATTGATCATTTTAGATGGATTTGGACCCATCATAGCATGCTTTTGGCGCTACTGTATATGGACGATCAAAAGTAAAATACTGTTTTAGCCACAGTATAATTCTGTCAAAACCTCAGCATTTTCATTGATCCATTAACTAAAAAAAAAATGTAGCAAAAGTTCATACTATAACATGTCTAACTTACTATCTACTTTTGTTGACTAATACCTAAATGTAATTTTTAATATTTAAATTTAAGGAACCTCTTACCGGAATTCCTTTATGAAGCGCTTTGAGTGTGTAATTTTTAATTTTATGACGATAAGTTGCTCAAAATAGCAGCCTGTAAGTCCGTACCAGAATCCACCTTTAATTCAATGTCTTTTGTGGGTTCGTAGAAGCAAAGTTGGGCTAAATAGGCGTATTCTGCGCGGCGTGTGAGGTGAGGTGACACGCTGTCACTTCTGAAGTGACAATTGTCACCTCGCGTGAGGTTACTCTCCATTTGATTTGAACGGAGACTCACCTCACCCGAGGTGACAATTGTCACTTCACCATCATTTCACTGTCACCTCACCTCACACTTCTTCTTCTTCTTCGCATTTCAAGCTTATTGCATATCAGGCATAACATTTGATAACGGCACAAAAGCATTTGTAAACAAACTTTCTAAGGCCCTTTGCACGCGAACCAAAGTACATCAATGCAAACCAACAACATCATCGGATAGGGGCAACTATCACCTTTCCGAAAGTGGTATTGGTTTGCGTGGGCGAACTTTGGTTCACGTGTAAAGGGCCTTAGAAAGTTTGTTTACAAATGCTTTTGTGCCGTTATCAAATGTTATGCCTGATATCGCATATTAGCTTATTGCGTGCTCTCAACTTAGTGTTCTAGATGCACTTCCACAGTTATTAATTGAGAGCTTTCGATGCCTGTACCATTTTTGCATTGGTATAATTGTGTGGCAAGTCCAATCATACTTCTATGCCCAGGGAAGTCAAGAAAATTTCCAACCCGAAAAATTCCTAGACTGGACCGGGAATCGAACCCAGCCACCTCCAGCATGGTCTTGCTTTGTAGCTGCGCCTTTACCAACTGAGCTAAGGGAGGCCCCCCTCACACGCCGCGCAGAATAGGCCTATAAAGCTAAATAGTTACCTAAAAATTCTACCTAAACCGTTCACAACCAGAGCCGGATCACTGATGAAAACCAAAACTACAACCCTGAAAAACGTATCGAAATTTTCGAAGGCGAACACTCCGCAACCCGAGCCGCAACCTATTCTTGCTACTGATTCTGTCCAATTATTAGGTATCCAAATTATAGTCATCCGTAAATTTATTATTGAATATATGGATGAATTATCTATTATTGAATAACTATTATTTACTATAAAACATGAAAGAAATAAAATATAAACTACAAATAAAACGTGACTACTAAAATCTCGAAAAGATATTCTCACAATTGTAGTTCACGCAACCAGGCCTGCTTCCACTCAATCGCCAACTTGCACATGTTAGACACAAGGAGAGGCCGAAAGGCAAGCGTCTGACACAACCCGTCAAATCCACCTGCAGATAGTCACAATCAACGATTCTACGAATCGCGAGCGCTAACTCTGATCGCTCACGAATCATAAAACCGCCGACCATGACACTCTGAAAGCTAAATTAACAGGTTCTATGCGTCAAATACCCGCCATCCAATCTCTTTCCGTATCCAACAAGTACACATCTCCACTACAACATCCAACGAATCCAAAACCCCGAGAATCACTCCTCTATAGCAAGTGAGTGGAAGCAACCCTGCACGCAACCTTTCTTCATGATACACTTTTTCTACCTATCTTTCTATTAGGCCTGTGGACATGCGTTAGCTTGGAAACTTCTAACCAAACTGGGAAATCTATCAGATCACAAGAAAAAAACACAAAAACTTAAAACGTTTCAAAGGTAATAACAAGTAAAATAAATATTGATTATTTTACGCAGAAAACGAGCAAGTAATATTAAATTACTAATGCTAATTGACTGCAACAAAAGTAATATGCTAAAATAAAATAAAATTTTAATAAAATTTACTAGAAGGTCATTACTTTATAGGTGAGAAGTTTCTAATAAGCCCTCCCAGTTCCTCTGTATACAGAACAAATCTGATGCTATAATCAGAATTGCTCAGTCTGCATGAAGCAGCCGATTTCATCAAGGAAGTTCTATTAACAACCAAGAATTAATTGTTTGAGACATAATGAAGCATGAAGAAGGTGATATGTGTCACTATAGGAAATCATCATCGTTGCAAATATAAAGAAATTAAACATAACCCTTTGCTTCAGTACCGTCAACCTCCATGTCCATGGGGAGGGGCTAACTTTGCCCAGCATTTTCGGAACAATACCTCGGAGTCAAAAAAGATCGATGCTTTGAACAATCTATAGACTTATTCACTTTACACCTTCGTTTGGAAACGCGAATCAGTGTCGACTTGAGTTCTGCTTCTTTGAGCGTGACTTGGGGTATTCTTCAAACCGATCGTCAAGCACCGGCTGCGTATTTCCAAGATTACTTACGAATAATCCTTTATTTCTATGCACTTAATCACGTTCTGATTATTCATACTTCTGCTAAGTTTGATATATGTACCTATATGTACTCTCGTCTGCCGTGAGTAGAACTTGTAGATTTTGTATGTTACTGTATCGTAACTTATTTATAAACAAAGCCTTATCAATCAATAGCAGATTGGGTATTTCAGTTGGGCCCTCCGGCGCCGGGACCTCCCGGTCCACCTGACTGTACACCTCCACCGACCATTCCGCCGTAGTTGGCCTGCTGCCCGCCGGCTCCGATCTGCATAGGTGAGTGCATCATCGGATTCGGACTCGATCCAACCTGGGCTCCCACCGGTGACGGTGCAATCTGGCCTCCCATAGGGCCGGGGCCCGGACCTCCCGGTGCCATGGCACCCATCGCTCCAATCTATAATAGCAAGCACAAATGCGTCAGTTTAATGTTTGCGATTCCATTGGAAGTAACTTACCTGATTGGCCATCTGTCCCGGTGGAGGTTGTTCGTTTGGTAGGGTTAGGTTCATGAGCAGATCGCGTACCGCCGGGAAGAGAGAGCATTCACCCTGCTGGAGACCGGTGCACTCGACGAACCGCCGCAGATGGGCACTGACGGCACTGGTCAGCTGCGGTATCACCTGTTCGCGCCGTTCCGCCAGCGAGGTGTGGTTAACGGTCATATCGTAAACCATCGGAAGTACCATGGTAACCGAGTCCTTCCATTCCATGTTGGGCAGGTACGGAATACGTGTTATTTGGATGAAGAAAAGAATCTTTTGACGATGGGAAAGAATGGTGGTTGTTCCAACGGGAACGATCGGTGTTCCGGACGGTGGCATACGGAGAATGAATTGCACGTTCCATTTGTTGCCCTGACCCAGATCGGGGATTAAATCCATTCGCATTATTTGGATGAAATCTTTCATCACCTGCGACGGGAGGTTCAGCATACGGGTGAAGCTGGTTACGACGGCCGGGCGGTACGGTGGAGCAGCGACCCGTTGGTCGAAGAATTGCTCCAGGATCTGGAGATCATCTGGTGACCATTGGTATGGCGGTTTGCCGTCCATGGTGGGAGCCATCGGTGCTTGGCTGATCTTCATGTGCAGCGATTGCATGTGGTTGGGATTCAGGAACACCTGGTATTGGAGGTTGTCCGCTTTGAACAGCACCACTCCGGGTTCATTCGACGTGATGGCCGTTAGCTGGAGTGGGAGAGCGATCGTTTGCAAGTTAAAATTCCGTTGTTGGTTAGGAAGGAATGAAAGCACTTACGTTATCTTCTTGGTGAATGATTCGTTGAAGCTGCCGACGCATGAACACCGATCCGAGGAAGCGTTCCAGGGGACTGAGTTCCGGTCCGGGGATTTCCTTCTGTGGGTGACACGTTGCGCGGCACAGCGTGTCCAGGGCTTCGTGCGTCAGGAGAGTGGGAATGGCACCAGCCCAGGAACGTGCCGGAAGCACTCGCGAAGTGTTGTGATGGGGTGCTAGGAAGGAGTGGAGTTTTTTTTAATGTGATCAATGTTGTAGTCGTTGAGTCTAGACGACAATCATGCAAAAAATACTCACTCTGAACCTTATGGTCAGGACTCTGTCCGGGCCGGGGCGAAGGTCTCGGCATTCCCGGCGAACCGGGCCAGTTGGATGCCGCCGGTGAGTGTGCACTGAAGGGACTATCCGTGTGGCCCATGTAGGGCAGGTTGGACGGTCCTGGGGAATGCGCCGCCATCGGACTGGGTTGTGGATTCAGCGGAGACGACGGCATCAAGCCACCACTTGGCGATGGATGCGGCATATGCGGAGCCGGTGGGGAAGTCATGTTGAAGTTCGGATGACTCTGACCGCCTCCCATTCCCTGCGGATGCGGCGAAGCTGGCGTGTGCGGATTCGATCCCGAGGGAGGCGTCAAGGGTGCTGCGAAACGAAGTCCCGGGTCGCGTGGACTTTGCGGGCCACGCATACCACTTCCGCTGAGGAAGGTCGATCCCACGGAGGCTGGACCACCATGAGGGTCTTCCATGGTGATGGGCGACGGTGGATTGTCGTCTTCCGATTGAGACCGACGCCGGTAGACGGCGGACTCGTCGACGTATTTGGAGAGGAAACCTTTCAGTCCTTGGGTAGGGGTAAATTCCTCGACTACGTGACTGCGATCGAATCGGCTGTAGGCACCGTCTCGGATCGAACAGAGACCACTTGCGCGAAGGCGCACCTCCAGACAGTAGACTCCCTGGAAGGAAATCCTCAGCAGAGTGGGAGATTGCGGAATGATGCAGAATGATAGGACCGGGACCTTGGGATTTTGCAGTATTGCCAGATGCGGTATGATTGGGAGTTTGGCAATGGACGACAGCGGTTGGTACGTCTCGTGAAGTAGATTGACGATCTGAGCCAGATCGTAGTTGTGGTTCAGATGAGCCTGCAGCTGATCTCGCATCATTGAATGTGCATTGATAGCGTTGTTGCCTCCAGTGAACACCATTTTGAACTCCTTGGCGTCGGTGTCCCAGTAGATGTTTACGTTGACTTCCTTGTTTGGTCCGTAGGCCAACAGAAGATTCGTATAGCTATACGACTTGATGGTGACGATGTTGTGCAGGTTGTACTTGTCATTCTTGATTTGCTCACGGAAGTCGTGCACCAGCGTGTACAGGTAGACTATCTTGGACCAATCATTCAATATCATATCGACGATCTTATCCACCGAATCAACGGGAAGCATATCGTAAGTCAAATAAACTGCCCGCCGCATTCCCTGCTCCTTGTGATGAGTGCTGGATAGGGGCGTTCCGTAGAACACCAGTTCTGTGGTCCACAGCCGAGTCTGAGTGCTCTTGTTGATCTGAGCACGGACCGACACAGAGAGAAGCCGTTTCAGCAGTGCATTCCAGACGTCCTTCTCAATCTTAGGAACACTAACCACCTTCGGCTCGGGTGGTTTTTGATCTGGACCCGATTGAGCTGCTGTGGCTGCTGCTGCTGCCGCTGCAGTGCTGGAAACCGGAATCACCGGGGGTTTAGGTTGCGGCAATGTCAGCAACTTCAGTACCAAAGAAGTTGCATTGGCTTCCACTTGGACGCCACCGTGTGGAATCTTGCGGCGAGTAAGTTCCTTGGCGAGGGCTACGAACGGTAGCTTCTCGTCACACATGGCCACGACATGCGCCAGCTCCGGAATGAAGTAAGCCGGGTAGATGATTTTCGATTGCTTCGCGGAAGGGCCTTCCCCGGGGAATAGTTTGCGCTTGCATCCGAGCGATTGTTCCTCTACGTATGTTCCGGGGCCGTGAGTTGCAACAAAGGTGTCAAATTCGATCAGAGCCTGAACTTTGAGGTACATTTTTGGCATTCCATCGTTTTCGGGAGCTCCGCCGGCCGCCGATGAGGACTGGGTAGTTCCTCCGGCTGTAACACTTGAGACGCTTGGTGGGCCTCCCGGTGGCACAGAACCCGGTCCCGACTGACTGGACGAGGCACCGGTTGTCTGTGACTGATCCTGATCTTGAGCTTGGCTGTCTTCCACCGAGGACGGCTTCACCAGAACAAGATAGAAAGTGTAGGTCATCTCGTTGGGACTGGATTTCTGCTCTTTAAGTTCGACGATCTGTAAAAGAGACGTTTTAATAGCATGAAGAACGCACCATCGCCAGACACCAGACCCAACTTACCAAAATGACATTCGAATGGCGGCACATCTGGATGTAGACCCTATGCGGTCCGATTTTTTCAATGGGATGATCCGGGGGGAAAACCAACGGCAGCCGTTCCTGTGTTGTCGCGGGTAAGTGCTGAAGGGTCTTTTCGCATCTGCGCTGGGTGATCCAATAGCGCAGTTCCGAAAATAGATGCTGCAGCTTGCTGCGATTGTTGTTCAACGCTTGCTGCATTTCCGGCATGATTGGACAGTCCAAGTGCTTGGGAACGTGACAACGGAGCATTCCCGTATGTGTGTCAACGGTGATGTAGATCTGTTCGGCCCGAAGGCATGGATTCAGCACGGGAACCGTCAACATAGCAGGAGTGCCTTGGATATTGTAATCCACATCCTTGAGGAACAGCTGAAGTTCGGTTTTCAGATCACCCAAACGGGCCAGTGATCTAACGTAGACCGTGTGAACAAGGAGCCGTTCCATCGATAGCAACTCGGAACGCACTGCACGGTCAGCGATGTCCACCTCTTTGGTCCCAATCGACGGAATATGCAAAATAGCCAGCTGCTTGGTGGAATCATTTAAATCCGTTTGAATCATCAACCTATAACCGAGTACCGATTTGGGGTCCTTGTTGGTCAACTCGCGCCAGTAGGATACTGTCAGTTTTGTGCCCGGAATGTACTCATCAACTTGAATGTGATCATCCAGCCGGTCACGCATCAAGCGAAGAGTTTGCGTATACAGCACTTCTAGCTGCAGCGATTGACAGAAATAATGCAGGCAATTGTAGACCTCTGCCAGTGCATCCGGACTGTCGACAATCCGTCCCTGGATCAACTGATGAATGTAGTTAATCTGCAGTGTATGAACCAAAGCTTTACCATCTCCCGTCTCCTTATCTTCCACCAAAACATCAATATCCAACAGACGCCACGGGATGTTCGGCCCATCACCCATGACCGTCAGCGAAACCTCAAATTCGTGATCCACTTTGAAGGTGACTCTACCATTTTCAATCTTGAACTTTCTCAGCTGAGGGAGCAAATTTCCGGTCACTAGTCGATGCTGAATAACCTGATTCAAACGCTGCAGTGTTTGACGCTTCTCAACCAAAGTTATCGGATCCGGTGGAACGATCCGCTCCCTAATGATCGACGGTAGCCGGGAGTAGGTCCCGGTGGTGAGAATTTCCACCGCTGCCGGAATGTGAAAGTTCGGAAGCCTAGCGTTGACTAGCGTTTCACGAGCCATCCGCGACAGCATGTCCGCCGTGTCCATGAACAGAAGGGATTGCTTGTCCAGAAAGGCCATAATCTTGGCCGATTTATCCACTTTGGATGCGGAGTTCGCCCACTTAACCAGCGCTAGCAGACGAATAAAGAGCTGCCGGGTGCTGGCCGAAAAGTTGTAGATTTCGATCTTACGTTCCATATCCGTCTTCCGGGGTAAGCTGAAAGCAAAGCAGTTATTCTTCAAATCCATTCCACATCACTCATCCTTCCACAATACTCACAGTTCCGCCAGTACCGTTAGCTCATGGTACGTCCGCTGAATGATAAAATCGATTAATCTCCCGAGTGGGATCAGATTCTGCCGCTGCGCCATTTCCTGCCCGGTCGGGATGAAGCTGGCGACAGCTCCTCCCTGCTCGAGCGGTTGCGGAGTCATTATTCAAACCTTGCTTTCGCAACCTTCCCGAATAGGAATTAGATTGCAATTAACTAAAAAACTTTAATGAGTTCAGGAGCGCTCCACTCTTCTCTACGTTTACCACGGGGGGAGAAGGGGAAACACCGTAGCACTGGCGCAGAAAATGTTCTTTTTCCAACTGGAAAACGCTTCCGCGGTGGAAATTTCACCGACAACCGATCAAACGGACATCGTTACACAGTTTCGGTAGGAAATTTTCCACTTTCAAGCTAAAATTACCACCAAGAATTGAATAAAATCAGAGCAGCATTTCCACGGGAAAGCAAAAACAACACAGTGGCATTTTTCACTTTTGACAGTTGTGGCGACTTTGACAGCGCCATGTTCGCGGAGCCTTCGGGTTTTCGGTTTCCTTTTGAATTCCGAAGAGACCCGAACTCTGACGGGGGAAAAGGCGGTTGTTATTTTGGTGGAATTTTGTTTTGTTCCCGCGCGACTTTGCTCCCGGTACTGAAATTTGCTTGAAAAATTCGACAGTGATCTTTCATAAGGGTGTATGAAATAACGGCTTGTACAAGATATTTTTTTCCAAGAATTTTTATTTGTTTCGCCCGTTGGCTAATCCTCAATCTAATCAAAACGACGTCTGAGACAAAGTTGCACGAAACTAGATTGCCTTTTCTTTTAAACACTGAAAACGATAACACATTTTCGTAAAATAATGAAATAAAGTTAAAAAAAAAACTTCAATAACATTTTCATATTTTATCCTTCTATTGATTTGAAAAGTAATCAAACATGCTAAATTTTCTGAAATTAACACAACGTCACTTCAAAATTCACTTAAAATCGTAGAACATAAACTCAGGGTCACCGGGAATTCGGGAAAACCGAAAAAAGGCGGGAATTCAAAGTCAAAAAAATACTTCGTCTTCTCTTCGACAAAAAAAAAAATAAGATTTTGGTCCTTGAAAAAAAAAATAAGACCCTTGGGTTGGACAAGACTTTCAGGATGCAGTCACTTTGAAGAACTATAAGAGGATCCTAGAATGTTATATTTCCCAAAACACATAAGTGAGGCAACGAATATTCAGCCGCCATATCATTCGACCGAATACTCGGTCGAATACTTAGGGGACGAATACGAATACAAGCATGGTAGTTTAAAAATTTCTCTCAAACCCCTTGTCAGCCACTTGTTAGATGGGAAATATCAGTTAAAATTTTGGTGCAAACGACAAATACGTGGCCGAATTGCTCTATTCGGTGCATCACTAGAAATAATACCAAGGAATGTCATTAAAAAAATCCTACTGTCTCACCTGGCTCATAACGAATATACGTATTATTGGTAAAGAGCGTATACTATACCTCTTAGTTCGTTATACCAACAATCAATACGAAACTAACGATTTTAAATTGGCTCACCACTTTAGTAGCCTATTGGTCCCAAGCAAACGATTAACGTACCCTATTCTAGTTGAAATTCTATTACTACACTATGTTTGTTTTGATTCGCTATGAAAGTTTGACAGATAACATCAGGGGTGTGTGGATTCATGCAGAACATGCAGGGGTGAGTGAAATAGCTTGGGACTGCTTGGGACCGTTGTTCTGGTACTGAGTGAGCCAAAAATAATAATGATTTTCTTCGGGACCCAGTGGTCTTAGAGTTACCTCTATGGATATACCAACAATCAATACGAAACTAACGATTTTAAATTGGCTCACTACTTGACTAGCCTATTGGTCCCAAGCAAACGATTAACGTACCCTATTCTAGTTGAAATTCTATTACTACACTATGTTTGTTTTGATTCGCTATGAAAGTTTGACAGATAACATCAGGGGTGTGTGGATTCATGCAGAACATGCAGGGGTGAGTGAAATAGCTTGGGACTGCTTGGGACCGTTGTTCTGGTACTGAGTGAGCCAAAAATAATAATGATTTTCTTCGGGACCCAGTGGTCTTAGAGTTACCTCTATGGATATACCAACAATCAATACGAAACTAACGATTTTAAATTGGCTCACTACTTGACTAGCCTATTGGTCCCAAGCAAACGATTAACGTACCCTATTCTAGTTGAAATTCTATTACTACACTATGTTTGTTTTGATTCGCTATGAAAGTTTGACAGATAACATCAGGGGTGTGTAGATTCATGCAGAACATGCAGGGGTGAGTGAAATAGCTTGGGACTGCTTGGGACCGTTGTTCTGGTACTGAGTGAGCCAAAAATAATAACGATTTTCTTCGGGACCCAGTGGTCTTAGAGTTACCTCTATGGTTATACTACGTCGCGAGAATTTCTTCGAACTGTGAATAAGTACAAGCACGTACAAGTTTACGATCGATCCTCAGAAACATCAAATTTAAATAGTTATAATAAAGCGCCCATTACACATATCAATATATTGACAATAAATTGACACACTGACAATATTATTGAAAAGGTGATATTGAAGATGATGATTGGTGCCAAGTATTGACGAAAAGTTGATTTTAATTTCACTTTGTCAATACTCAGAAAGTATTGACAAAAAACCGTCAATTTTGCCATCATTTCGAATATTCGAATATTGACAACATTAATGGCAATACGTTAGAAGCCTTTTTACCTCAATTTATTAAAGTCAATATTACTTGTCTCAATTTCCCCACACAAGAAATATGGATCAGCGAACGAAAGCGTTAGAGTTAATGTTTGCATTCGGGTCCAAACAGAAACGATTGCTGGACCTGTATGTATTGAAAATACTAGCTACACACTGAATTCGGATCACCGAAGTCGGTAAAATTTGCCGGGTTTTTGAACAGCTGCAAAAATTGGAAAAAAAATTCAAATGACCGTTACTCGAAGGAAATCAATAAAATCGACAAATTTGATTTGTATCATTAAATGGGGTTAACTAAGCCGTACATTTTTGGAATAAATTCCTAAATTTTTAAAAATTTTCACTGATTTTTAAACTTTTACCAAACAGTTCCGTAGTTCAAAAATTACCAAACAGCGGAGTCCTGGACATATATAGAAACCAATTTTCACCCAACATTTACTTAAACTTGCACATTTTAAGTTAATTTTGAGGATTTTTAGAATAAATAGTGTTAAATAATAATCTATTCCAGGCCTATTATTATGTTCTCAGAATGATGTAAGAACTAGGTGATTAATTATAGCATCCAATTTTATTTTTGATATCACTGAACTCTCCTGTTTCGTTCGAACAATAATGTTTACCTAATGTTACCCATACATATAATGCTTAGTTTTATCATAATGATACACTAGTTTTATCGTGATGAAAATTCTCTTATACTTTCTGGAAAATTACTATTGATGATTATTAAAGTTAACTAATGACCAGAAGACGTGCAAGAAAATATGTCATATGAACTGTATTAATGGTCACACATATAGTTTATTTATTAACATTGGATGTACCATGAACGTGGTTTATTCTGCGTGAGCTGTAATTCCGCGGACTTGTCATTCAAATACCAAATTGGTTTACCAAATGTTGTAACTGTTTGACAGGACTCAGAAAATAAACAGGGCAACAGATAACATGACATGTACTTCCAAATTAATAGAATTTAATCAAATCGATTACCGAGTGCGCGGAATTACTACACGTGTGGAATAACCTCGGGAATAACCCACGTTTACGCTACGCAGTTTCCCAAAAAAAAAAAACTATCATGCTGATATGTTGGTAAATAACCATAAATGAAAATCATGCATATAATAATTAATTTTCGTTACGGATAGGTATCCCAAGTAACAATTAGGGTTTTATGGGGGTTTTGTAGAATATGAATTAGACTTGTAGCATGCTTTAAAACCGTGATAAACCTTACAATGTTTCTTGGGATGTGAAACGCTGATAGTATTTATTTTATTTTAAAGTAAAAAAAAAACATGATTATGCTTGTGAATTTGTAGAAAATGTACATCCATATAAACGAAGCCTGGGTGATTGGTGAGTGTAAAAAGATACATTTTTTATTTAGTTTGAAATTGATTTTAAATCACACACGAAGATTAAAACAAATGGCAACACTGCATGCGCGAAGGTGCTGTGTGAGTCAGTCCATCTAAATGACATACGTTCTCCCTCCTCTTGGGTAGGGGAAGAATATTGACAAAGTGAAATGAAAATCAGTTTTCAACAATACTCGTCATCAATCCATCGTCATCAATATTACCATTTCAATAATATTGTCAGTATTTCAATTTACTGTCAATATATTGACCCGTGTAACGAGCGCTTTAGCGTGTTGTCATTAATGTTGTCAATAATAATGCATTGATAATATTGTAAGGAAAATTGACAATACGATGTTTGTCAATATATTGACATGTGTAATGGGCGCTTAATACAGGCAGGCTTGCAATTGCTCATTACAGCTAAAATTCTATTTTTCGTAATTATGAAACTATGAGATACTATAGTGGTAATTTTTATTTGTAAGAAGCAATAATAGGTGGTATAGTTTGTGTATGACATATAAAATTTGTCAATTTTGCTTTCAGAAGGTCACAGCTAGCGATTGTATGATCGCTGATTGCTCGCTCATCACGTTGCTCATCGTTAGAACTAATCGCTATTCTGACCCTCTGAAAGCTAAATTGACAGGTTTTATGTGTCATACACACACTTTATCTGCTTTTCTTGCATCTTGTAAATAAGGATTATCATTAAAATATTTCATAGCTTCATAAATCCGAAAAACCCAACAAACAATTCAAAGTCACAAATAAGCATACACATTGAATAAATGCTGTATAACAGTGTACAATGCTGAATAAAACAGGATGTCGAATTATGTGCTGAAAAAAAGCTCATTGAGATCGATAGAGGCGCTTTTATTCCGCCGTTTGCTCTGATATGATTAATTTCCTTATTAAAAGCTTTATAAACGTTGACTGTCTTCCTTATTCAGAACCAGAAGGTTGATCTAATAACAAACTGAATAAGTGTAATTTGCACATATATTGTCGCTTTTATTCGACTGTTTTCAATTGATTGAATAAAATGCTTTTTTAAACGTCTTATAAATGTTTTCCAGCTCCATTATTAGATTTCTTTGCATTGTTTTACAATATTGCTGTATAAAGGTGAATACACTCAGCAAAATAACTCTTATACCACCCAACAAACAATTCAAAGTCACAAATAAGCATATATATTGAATAAATGCTGTATAACAGTGTACAATGCTGAATAAAAAGAGTTGTCGAATTATGTGCTGAAAAAGCTCATTGTTCCACTCTGATCTGATTAATTTACTTATTAAAAGCTGTAAAAGTGTTAAATGTCTTCCCAATTCAACGCCAGAAGTTTGATCTAATAACA